ACACACATATATATATATATATATATATACACACATATATACATATATATATATACATAATATATAGACATATATATATATATATATATATATATACAAAATATACAAATTACTAGAAAACAACAATACTGTAAAAAGTTTACATCATCAATAATTATTAGGCCTATTATTTTTTTTATATTTATTATGAATTGTAATTATGATGGAGATAAGTGGTCTATTAAAATATGATGTGTGTATTTTCCTATAATTATATCAATATAATAAATGAAGTCTTAGCTATTCTAGTGACAAGTATTAAGTGTTAAGACTATTTGCCTACAAACAGATCTCACGATGTTCACTAACGATGTGCAGCATATAGTTCCGTATTTTTTTCCCGCTTTGTCAAACGATAGGATTATGAATCTATAGCTTTGTCAAAGGATAGATGTAAATCCTAAGGTAACGCAACTGTTAAGGTGTGAATTGATAAATCGACAGATGACCATGTCAATCAACGGCCAACCTGTGACACTAAATTGACTTCTCAAGTGTTAAATCGATCTATGAGTCCCGGATGTGGCATATTCAGTTCCATTCAGATCTCGCAACCTCAACAGCACATTTACTGTCATTCAATTTCATTCATCAATAATGACACGAAATCCTAAAGCGAACTTCTTTTCTTTCGGGAAATTAAGAAGAAAAACAGGATTTATTAAGAAGATAATGCATATCAAACATTGTTTAAATAATCAAACTTAACTGTTCTTAGTACTGTACAAATGTAGGCTCCACAAGGCTATTGGAAATCCTTTCTATTCATTATAAATATTGTGGTTAGTATTTCAATACCATGATTTTTAATATTGCAGTTGCAGCATTATTTTGGCCTTGGTTATTTGTCATTATTTCTATCTGGGACTTGATCCGGACAAAATTGCAGTGCTTAATTATTTTATAATCGGTGGACAATATTATTATCCAAAGAGTTAATGTTCTCCGACCTTCTCTTTTTATTGTAGAATGTATTAATTGCAGTTTATGTGTTTTCTCCAAACTTATCTAATATATCGCAGGTATTATTAGAAATTTTGTAGAAGAGAAACTTGCGCCACCTACATTATTATTATTATTATTATTATTATTATTATTATTATTATTATTATTATTATTATTATTATTATTATTATTATTATTATTATTATTATTATTAAAATATTTAAATCAAATAACTTAAATAATATTATTGATACCGACTATTAATACAAAAATATACTTGAAAAAATAAATTAAAAGAAACTAATGAAAGCAGGGAAATCTAATGAAGAACACGAGATTTAGGCAGAAAGAAAACGAACTAGCTATAAAAACAAAGTAACGATATTCTATTAAACAATTAAGTTGTGCGTTTATTCTGCACATATATCAAGTTTCCAAATTGTACAATATGCCTTAATTATATTTAAATTTCAATGTACCATAAAACACCGATTTCCACGGCAACGGAGGTGGTAAC